TAACAAATCATGATATATACACTTATATGCTGTAGTATGTATGCATTTAAAGGAAAATTCGGGATTTTATATCATTCAATAATTTAGACTTCGAGATTTTGTACCATTCGGGATTTTGGATTTTGAGATTTTGGATTTCGAGATTTTAACCTTTCGATATTTTGGATTTCGAGATTTTGGACGGCACCCTTTTATGACTAATTTGCAAAATGTGATTTTTATCATAAATGCATGTGAAACAATCTTTAATTTCAATACAAATTTTTTTTTATTTATTTATTTATTCAGTAATTGTAATTGTTCAAATTATTATTAAACACTATATTAATTTTTACAAATCCAATTATGAATTACATTAAGCTCTTTATTTTTTTCATAATAATTATTACTTTTATTACTACTATCTTCTGATTCACTTTTATTATTATTATCATCTAATGATTTACTTTCACTATTATTTTTATCTTCTTCAACTCCTTTTCCTAGATTATTAATATTTTTTACTTTATTAAAATTAAAAATTAAACTATTTTCTTTTTTATTAATTGCATTTAAAATTTTACAGTATTTGAATGAATGTGTAATTATATTAGTATCTATAGCATTCCAACTTCCTTTTACTTAATTTGCTATAAGTAAATAAGATAACCTCTTAATTTTACCAGATGATATATAGTCTTTAATTTTTTCATTTATCTAATGATTATAGTGATATTACATCTATTATATATAAATAATATTAATTTATTTGTTTAATAATAAAGAAAATAAATAAAAATAAAATTACTTTAGCTTTAAAGGATTTATTAAATGAAATATCAAATGGTTGTTGTCACCGTGGAATTCTTCAACTCAGGGTGATCACGTTATCAAGTCTCTACTCGAAATTTCTAACTGCAGGTTACTGCGGTTAAGACGTTAGGATTCGCCTAGCTCTTAACTTTGTCAAAATTACACGTTAGACTTAAATAAAACTTATCAAGTATGAAGACTCGAAAGACGAGATTATGAATAATTTATTTAAAGAACTCGGATGACGAACTCAATTACAAA